TTTCCCCCTCCCTCCTTTCTCCTTAACGGCCCTCGGGAGCTGCGAGAGGCCTCTGCCCCCCCAAGTCTGCAGCATGGACTTGCTTTCGTGAGAGACACCAAGACGCGCTCCCTCCCTCTCGTTGGTCCTTGCATTCGCAGCAAAGCCAGAGAGAGGATGCGCCCATCTCACGCTGTCAGACTAGCCGGTTGGAATGGAAATGCGTATGAGAAGTGACAAGCATCGGCTAAACACGGGTCAGCACAATCCCGGCACACTCCAGCTGAGCACAACATCTCCCCGAGGGGTCTTGAGAGCGCAATTAAAGCCGGCAGCCGTCTCTGCTCTTTCAAGCAAAAAAGTACTAAAATAGTAAACATGACAAAAATAACGATAATAAAACTATAATAAAACTCTCGCCTGATTCTCTTTCTAGGCAAGACAAAATAACTTCGATTATTGGAGAAAAGGCTCTCTCGTCTGACTGACCCAGTGTGATCACCTGCAATCACAGAAGAGCTCCATCCAAACCGCCAGAGCAGGATCGGGACAGCTCGGGTCAGCAGGGGGAAACCGGGAAGCTGCAACAATCGAGTTACTTGCACAGAAGTAGGTACCAATGTCAGGGAGGTCTGGAGTTTAGGACATGTTCGGGACCACTGCCGAGAGACAAGCCGATACCACACAGAAATAACAGATCATGCGTGGAAATCAAAGATCTCTACTCCCCTGATTTCCTGCACCGAGGGTACAGGTAGCACCTGCTTGCTGAGGGTATGGGAGAAGGCAGAATGCATTTCAAAGTACCTTCCCTAAAAGCAGGGATCGCTCCCTTTCCACAGCAATTTTTATAGTCTGCTTTCAGCTGGTGAAAACTCCCCATTCTCCTCCGTTTCCAGCTTTCTTCTGTGAGAGCCTATTATAGTCATATCCTCATCAATCAATAAAGGAAGAGGCCATAAATAAAAGGCAAAACTTAACCATTCTTGTACCGTCTGTGAATCTATTTATTTCAGATGAGAATTTCCAGGCCACTGAAAAAGAGCATTTCAATTACACAAACTAGCAGTGTCTCTAAAAATAAGAGAAAACCGGGAGCACAGCCAGAAATGATTCATTAAATAAAAATTTGATACATCTGTCTGTATCCTTAGCTCAGCAAATCTTCCAAGAGAGGTCCCTATCCTTCTGGCACTAGAGCAAGCCTTTGCTCACCACAGCACAAGTGTCTGTGATTATTAGGATTTTCCTGGTAATGTTTAAATGCTTCATTTTCCATTTATTGCATTGATGCTACAGCACCTGTGAGAGCTGCAGGGGTGGTTTATATCTGTCTTAACCCACAGACCTTGTAAATTTCAGCAGTTGCCATTGTACACAATATATAACAAACTTAATATTTACAGCCTGCTGTTTACCTGGGCTTCTCCTTCCCCAGTAACTGTAGAAATCCTTAATTCCCACTTAATTACAACAAAATTATAATCTAGACACAACACACACGCACACATTTCCCGATTTCCCCAGAATTCCTACCTACCAGAATGTGATGTTCTCAATAATATGGAAAAAGATACTGTTTTAGCTCTCTGTAAGAAATGTGAAGTTACTATAAACACGCTTGACCGATGTAATATCACCTGCTGAAGTGAAAAAGAAGATACCAAGAGGTTTTCCTTGGCCTTGGCCAATGGCACTAGTCTTTTACTACGTGAGATAATTTCTTCAGCTTTCTGCTACATTTCTTCTTTTTTTTTCCCTGTACTATTTCCTAACATTTGTCTATAAGGCTTTAAGGGGTCCTGCCTACTATTTTTTTTTCATAACATTACAGCCCTGCTTCAATATTTTGGCATTTTTTGTCCCGTTGCTTGTTTCCACTATCGACTGTGGAAAGAAAATGATGTCCCTGGAAGTCATACGGTATTGAACATAACTTACCGGAACATAAATATTGCCGGGAATGTATTATTAATACCTAACCGCTCCTCCCATTCCTGCCACACTTCCTTTCTGGTCCAGACGAGACGAGTGTCTGAACGGGTTGATTGCACGATTAATATATGTCTCTCGTGAAAAGTCCTGGATCACAGCCAAAAATAAAACGCTTAATAATAGTAATATCTATGGTCAATGTGTCTCGCTCGGATCTCCAGTGTCTCAAGGATGTCACAACATTTAGTCTCTCCACTCTCGCTCTTGTTTGGCCACTCTTTGTGTAACCACTTACAGGTCCCGTCACTTCAGGCTCTGTAACCTTAGGGTGTCTCATTGCCACGCCCCGTTTCTTTCTCTAATTGCTTTATTTGCACAAGCCCCATTAATCACCTTTAAATGCAAACGCCTCCCCGGTAACTCATCATAGGGGACGATGTAACTGCTTCTAAAAGCTTCATCTTTGATGTCGCCTTTGCCTTCAGTTTGCCTTCTCTGAACAGTTTCCTACTCCCTTCCCTCCAGGTTACCCACTCATCAAGCTATTTTGTCACCAATCGCCCAGGAGTCATTTTTTTCTGATACTAAGGGCACATCCTGCATCCTCCAAGGTCTCACTGACAGCTTCCCAATCCCTCCATAATCTGCTCCCAGGCGTGCTCACAGAACACTTATTTCGTGTTCTCCCACCCCTTTGGCTGCTGCATCGTTGTATTTACATTGCCTCGGAGTCCTGAGCATTCCTTACGTCCTCTTTCTCCCGCCCCGTCCTATATTCTCAGTCAATCACGCCTATTTTCAGCAGTAAGACGTCATTTCTCCGGTCGTGCATACTGCGCTTGAAACAATGGCAGTAGCTAGAAGAAAGAACAAAGGCGAGAGTAAAACCGAACTATACTGGAATTCTGGAAGACACGGCTGCACCACGCGATGATTATTTCAACGCCCTATTATCCTAGGGCAATGCAACAAAATCCATGCAGGCACAGATCGGATCGGCGGCTTTAGAGGAGGCTTGAAGATCACAGACACCTCTAGATCTATAGCGAGGTTAGGGAAAAGGCGAGCAACAGAACTTGCTCCGTTTCTTCGATGCCCTCTACCGAGGGCACCCACTGATGCTAGACCAGATCGGGGCGCTGCTGCCGCAGCGGAGTGTCTGCCAGGAGAGCCGAGACATCAGAAAGGGTTGGATCCGCCCGGAAGAGCAGATGGACAGACAGCCCTGCAGTTTCTCCACTAAGGTGAACGCATGAGCACCCCATGGCGGCAGGGACAGCTGGCCCTGGACACGCAGGCAGAACCAGCTCTCATTTCCACCTCGAAAGACACATGAATAAAAAGCTCGTACCCTAACGGGTGTCACGAGAATCCATCAGTAAACCGGACCTGCATCAAGAAGATCGGAACCAGTGTTGGGGCTCCTCGTAGGGCAGAGCCCGAATGCCGGCATGGAGCTGGGGTGTAATAGCTGCCGACGGAGGGACCCCGCTACTGCCTTCCCCCGTGAACTCCCCCGGGCAGAGACGAAGACAAAGGAGGTGACAGCCCGAGCGCCCAGACCACCGGGCTCCTTAGCTCGGGACTCCAGGTGGTCACAGTACCCGCTGATGTCTGTGGCCAGTGGGACCGCGCCCGGCGGCGTCTCTGCCCTCTGTGCAACGCGCAGCGCCTCTGCCCCGCGCATCCCTCGCTGTTGGCTGCAAGGCTGGGGCTGATCCGCTGCTTTCACCAGGGCTCCGAGCCCGTCTTCTCCCTGTGCGCAGGCAGGCTGTGACTGCTGCCGGAGCGGGTACCGATGTCTGGATGCCCTTCAGCAAACCATGGGAGGTGGCCGTTACCATGGGGGGAAAGTTGGGAACTGAGATTACTGAAAAGGAGCCCAGGAAAATGCCCCATACGCAGAGAAATTCTAGATTTCAGCGACACCCCTCCCCTCCCAGCAAATTCCCC